GTTGCGGTGGCCCTCGGGTTGGCCGTTTCGTTCCAGGCGTTTGGACGCCGAGTTTCAGGCCTCTTCTTTCATCCCCCTGTAACGCGGAGGTTGTGCCCCGCCCTCCCCCCCCCGTGTATACAGCTAAACCGGCAGTACAGTTGTCAATGCCGTCTTCAGTCGGGTGTGAAAACTAAGGTAAAACTTCACTGAGATTCGGTTACAGGCTGTGGTTACAATCACTTGGCTGTCGGTGTTGTATGTGTTAGCACTTTCTGATCAAACCGTCTTGCAGTTGTTCATTTTTTCCCATGGCTTGCTTTCAGTAGCTTCCCTTGTACCTGACATTATGCCATACCTGAGCTCTCAGTGTGCACCTACATGCACAAACCTGATCGTGCATGATGATGATTATAATTTGAGGTAGTTGATCTGTCGTCGAGGAGGGGCTAGCACTTGAACGAGTAGAGTTTAACAGCTGCTGGTTCTGTTGTGTGCAGCTCAAATACAATTTTGTTTTACAGCCTCTTGGTTGAGCTAAGTGGACCTGCGCTAAATGTGAAATGAAGATGTAACCTCAGAGCCTGAGTTTTGGGGAATAGGGTTGGAGGAGGGAGAGGGGCTATTAATGCGAGTTTTTCCTAACTTTCTACCCCCATTCACAGTGCGTAGTGCAGCCCCTATTTCTGCACTATGTGACACCACCGTGCAGCTGCACAGACGCATCCCCCTGCCCCCCTGATCATGAGGTAGCATCTCATGCTCCAAAACTAAGCCCCAGAAGAGGTTCAGAATCAGTGTGTAGGTGACATCTCTATAGACTTTAGATGCAGTATGTCTTGGATTACTTCTTTGAGAAAGATTTTGGTAGCTGAAGTGATCAAAAAAGAGTTGGAAAAAAATAGTTCCTCCCCAATGATTCTTCTCAGTAGTATTTAATGAACTATCACAGTTCTGTAGCTACAAAATACGCCCTTCTGCTAGTTAGGTTGCTTATTTTCAGAAGAGCTATCATATTGGAGGAACGTTTCTGCATTTCTAATCAGATCTTCTCTCCAGACAATTAAAAGCCATTGTGCACACACCAGAGCACAGACACAAACCTTTCCTCATTAGGAATGATGCTCTGGTAACCCTGTGACAGTCACATAGTTTCTTTTCCTTTTCTGGTGGGCTTATCCTTAAGAGAGGGAGTATGAACCATAGTGCTTAATGTAGCTAACAAACTGCACTGCAACTATGAAAAATTACTGCCTGGCACGATCACATTTGACAACTTTTTCAAGGTCTGCTACAGGTAACAGTCTGGATTTCCCAGGAGGGGACTGCTCTGTGTGTGTGTGCCTGTGTGTGTATGTGTATGCAGATATAAAACATTGTATACTTGTATATAATTTAAATATGTATAAAATCTTTTATATTAAAAAAAATAATCCCCAAACCCTTCAGCCTCTAAAACTATTTTCTGAAGTTCACACCAAACTTAAGTTTGCGGACAGCTTCCAGTATTATAAGACCATCCATGATTTCTTACTCAAACTGAGTTTTGATAGTCTGTGATAAACAGTTTTCGCAATTCTTCTCATAAGTGATTTCAGTGGAGGAAGAAGTAATTTCTCAACATTATGTCCAAGTCAGCGTATGCGTTCACTGATTTCAGCAGTGCAGATCAATTCCATGAGGAAAAGAAAAAAACCCCAAATCTCAGAAAACATGTAACCTCAGGAATGGGACAAGAAACAGCTCGCTGATCTTCTAGCAATCACATTCAATGTTGCTGACTAGCTCTGGAGCCAGCCAGTTCAAACAGAAATGAAATGGGGGGGGTTTGCATTTTTTGAGTTAGAAACATTGATCATTGGGCACTTTCTTCTACAGTACTTCATTTAATCTTAATCTCCGGAAGTCCTTATAATGGCCTTAGTTAATTGCTGAGTAATGTACTTTTTCTGGATAAGGAAACCTATGACAGTGAAATACTCTAGTCTGCTGAGCTCTTCAGAATATAGCCAGTCAACGAGCACTTAACGCTCTATTTTATAACTTAACCAGTCTTTAAGTGGCTCAGCCAATCAGGGACTAGGTCATCCATGAATTTTAAATACTTTTCTGAATATATTATATATCAAGTATCCAGTCATTGTGGAATTTTTATTTTAGTTTAATTTTTTAACTCCAAACAAGTAACATTCATGTGGCAGTCTGACAGGTACACACCTTTAAATACACACCACTTTCAGCACACGTTTGGAGGTAGCACTTGTAACTCCTCTGACTGCTCACTTTCCTAATTAACCCCTCTGATATTTTTAACAGCCTTTTACAGCCTGTTTTCAGCCTTTAAGAAGACAAATATATAGTGTACTAAATCGTTCCTATTTTAAGTAAACTGATGTTGTAAAATAAATAGAGAAATAGTGAATTAATTCCTACGTTAATTAGCAAACTATGGGTAAGAGGATCCCTACTGAGAGGCTTGTAACTACTTGGAGGGGTCAGTTTAGGATCTGGGTACTCCCCATTATATTAACGGGTAACTTCTGCCAAGAACCTTGTGTCTAGCCCACATGAAAATACACCTCTCATTGTGCCAACTGTGAACTTATCCACATCTGTGATTCTGTCACCGTGAAATTAAACAAAAAGGGTTTTTTGTAAATTCCACAAATCGTATGGTTTGTTTTTCTTTCACGTGCTTTACGTCACAAGTAGCTGTTGCAGTGCTCGCACTGACAGACACCCTGGTCTGGTAAAACTAGATTTAAAAAATGCAATTTATTTTTTTATATAACAGTTAAGTATAGCAATGTAATCAATTAGTTTCAATAACTGTGTGTATCCTGCAAGAGGGCACAATTATCACACAGCATACAGATTTTTATAAACCCAACTTTGATTATGTTTCTCCAACATATGAATTGGTACTTTCTCTAAGATACACTTTAGGAACATTACCAAAAACCATTCTTCATCATTTGTATGAGTTACTGACCCAAAGGTATTGAGTCATGTTTGTTTTGGAAGCACGTTGCACATAGGGCTTGTCAGTCATGTCTACAGAAGGAGACATGTGCTTATTGGATATAATGCCTGTATTTACCAAATGAGAAATTAAAAGCAAGTTTACAGGAAAGCACAATTGCAAATTGATTACATCACTTTCATTTGCATTACACAATTATTCCTCCCATGCAGTTGTGCCACTGAAAAATACCTCAGTTTTTGCTTCAGCAGAAGATTTTTAACGTTTAGGATTACTGTGTATATTAAATTATAACTTTCATGTAACAAAACTAGTGCAGTTTAGTGGTTTACATAGCACCGTTCAGTGAGGTGCCCTCGCTCTGTGATTCCCAATAGCAGCTGTGCTGGTTCAGCTCCATCGTGGGCTCTTGTGCAGACTTGTCTCCAGGTCTTCCATCTTTTTAATTACTATCACTTAACCTGGGATAGAATCTTTGACACTGATCTGAAAATGCCACCAATTCCTCTACCTTAATGTTCACGCCATTATTTTTACACATTATACAGCAACAGGAAGCTTTTAAAAGAGTATATTCTACATCAGGATGTAATTGATGAAACGTAATGCTTGCCCGTGATAGTTAGCAAGCTTTAAAGATAAAATTTGCAGAGAATTATTTTTTTTTGGGGGGGGGGAATCTCTGAATTTGTCAGAGGTCAATTAAAGAGAGAAAATATGCTAAATATTATGGTAAGTGTATACTTGCTTACGTTACTTGTGAAACAACTTCAGACTTAGGTGATGAAGTAAATGCCTCACTTTGAGAATGACATCATGTTTCATCTTGCATTTTGAATTGATGTAAACTGCTAAAGTACAGAAATACAGAGAATGCTTTTTGCTTCCTTCCTCTCCACCGTTGTAGCAACAGCAGGTCTTGATACCATTCAGAAAACTGAACTTCCTCTTCTGCAATGGTATTTAAGAGTCAAATTATTAAATATATTGATTTTATCTTTATTTGTGAATACTGCAGCAGTACTACTTGCAACCTTCATTTTATATAATTTGCTCTCATGTATACTTTACACTTTCTGTATTTCTTGTTCTGTGCTTAAAAACAGAAGGTATACAACAATATTAGAAAATAGAGTGGTTTAAAGTTATGGTCCTCTTAAATAAGCTCCTCTCATGAATAACATGAAAATAAAAGGAGTGACTGCTAGGTTTAGAACTCCATTTTTATTTTAAAGATAACTGAACTATTATGTTTTATATCATAAA